TCAGATTTTAAGACATTATCAGCAGTTTTGGCCTGATTTTTTATTTTTATTTTTAAAAAAATGTAAACCATTTTTTTCTGTGATTTTCTGGATATTATCTGTAATCTAACAAAAATCTGTAAATAACAGTTGAAAAAGCTATTTACCATTTTTAAATCCTTAATAAGTCTTTCTTTTTTTTTTTTTAAAGGCAAATATCTATATATTTATTTTTTTTAAATAACAGTTTTGCTGATTTGAATACAGTTTTAAAAACAACTCACAAAAAAACAGTCAAAATCTGTAAACTTACAATAAATTGTAAAATAAAAAGTGAAAATAAACATGAACTGTACATGGAGATGGGTTTTTAGTTTGAGATAACTTCAACGGCATTGACCTGTATTTTTATTTATTTATTTATTTTTTAACCAAAAACTGAATTTATTTCTGACTCCAAGGACAGTAAAAATGATTTTTGAGATAATAAATCTTCTGGTTTCTATTAGCAGATATTCTCTATTCTATCCCAGACAGCTGAGTCCGTCTCTGCTGATGATAATGTATATAAACTTTATATTTAATGTAATTCTTCTGGAACATTTGCTGCAGGCTTTTGGCAAGACTTCTTTAACAATGGGGGAAATTTCAGCGAAACATTTTGATAGACAGAAACTTTTCCCTAAAGCTCCAAAATCATAATAGTTACAGCTACACATTAATTGATAATTATGTGATGTAATATTGATGCTTTATTGGTGATTCAGTTCTGTGTTTGTCTGTTTTCTTACAAGAACATCTCAGATCAGATAAAACACACAATCAACATGATCAAGTCTCATCCAGTCGGTCTCATCGTGCTGCTCATGGAGTTATTGATGGTTTTTGAGGATTTTTTTTTTTACCACCAAACTGAACCAACGTTTGTTTTTTTTAGAGTTTGAACTGATCGGCATGAATGACATCTATCACTTCTGTAAAAACAAAGTGAGGAGAGTTTGTGGTCTGCTAAAACAACAACTCACTTTGTTTTTACAGAAATGATAGATGTCATTCATGGAAAAACAAAGTAGGGAGAGTTTTTTGTTTTTTTTAGCAGAGGACTGTGTTTGTTGGACACAGTTTAATTCTTTTACTCCAAGACAAGACACTTAAAGGTTGAAGCTTCACATTGACATGCAAATGAAAGCGTGACGTTTCCTCTGACCTCCAGTGTGCTTAATGTCCTGCTTTCAGGGTGTGTTATTATGCCGGGTGTGGTCACAGGGACAACAAAGCAACACTTCTGCCTCCACCTGGACACGCCTTGAGCAGCACTGGGTGTGGTCAGAGCTGAACTGAAGACAGCAAATGCTGTAAAAGAATGAATTACCATCCATCATCT